TTTCTTGGTGGAAGGATGGGGGGCAAGGCTGGAGGAAGTTTCTGGGGGCTTCTCCAATCACCTTCAGCAATGCCACCATGTTGTAGTCTATTTGGGTTAGTTAAATGGATTTACAAGTTATATTATCTAGTCTTGATAAATATAACCCTCAAAAAGAGACAAGTGGCCTAAACAATTCTGCCATGTAAATATTGAACTAATTCCAATACAGTACTGTAAATATAAACACATAAGAAACTGGCAGAGCTGACACCTCTGGCTTGAGCTCTTTGTCAGGTACATTCTGAGCTTAAAAATAATGATCTTACTAAATGTAAGTTGGCCAAAAAAAAATCAAAATTACTGATTTGAAATATGGACTCTGCCCATGATATGGACTTCCATCAATATTATTTAGTGCCTCTCAGTTTACTAGGATGTAAAGTATTTGTGAATTGATAAAAGTTACATACAGTTTCTTAGTTAACATACGTACAAGTGTTTAAACCTTTACTGGTGGGGTGCATGGCCCACTTGACTCCACTGGTTCAGACCATGAAGGTGGGCATGTGTCCAAGAGGCTGTCCTCTAATGTCCACCCAAGAAGGAAGAGATGGCACAATCCTGGGGCCTCTCCTGGCCACTAAACAACCCCCTCTCCATCACCCCACATCCCCTCAGCAACATACAGGATCGGCTGTGATTGGGAGATGGCAGCAGGGAACTTGTGGCCAGATCCACATCTGAGTTTAGATTCCAGCTCTGTCTTTTACTAGCCACTTGACCTGGGTAAATCATCTTCTGTCTCAGCTTCTTCAGCTGAAAGGCTTATTGGGTGTGGCCAAGAATATCCTTGCAGTTTCTAGTGCCTAGCTAATTTTCAGTCCTTGGAACACAGTAAAGTGTTCAGGAAACAGTTAAATCTGAATCTGTGATAGCTTGCCAGGCTAGACCCATTCCCTTGTAGGCAGGGTTTGCCCAGCCCTGAGTAGGATGGGAAAGCCTTGGTTTACTTCAGCAGAAGGGGAGAACCTTGCAGGCTGGGGGCCAGTTAGGCAGAAAAGAGATGCAAAGTGAGCCCAAGGCCGGACTGGCGCTGAGAATAGCTGGAATACAATGAAACGTCAAGACAGACTGCCCCAGGCTGAAATGTGCAGAGAGCTGGCTGGTAGGGGGTGGAGAGAGCCAATTGCTGGGAACACCGCCTGCTCTGATCCCAAGAGACCCTCCAGGAAAGGGAAAGGGGAGGAGGAGGAAGCTCCAGCTGCATGGGTTCCACAGGGACCAGTGAAGAAGTCTTCACTCGGAGAAAAGCTGACATACAATGAAAGTATAAATAAAGTATATCTCCTTCTTGCAAGGTGATAGCTCTGTAAATGTGGATAGAGGAGTCTAGAAAGATCTTCTCCAAGATATTAAGTGGTTCTCTTTTGGTGCTAGCATCTGGGGTGTTTTTTCTGTCTTCTCTTTTAAAAGTCCTATCCTTATTCAAATAACATTCAGCTGTGCCTTTGCTCCTAGAGAAGAAGCTGGAGAGAGGCTCTCGTGTTCGGAGTCGGACCAAGCCCTTCCTCCCAGCAGGGCCCACCTCACGGTACCCCCTGCACCCCCTCCATCTCCAGCCGAGGATCCCACGGTCTCCTGCACATGTAAAACTTAAGTGATTTTGAAGTAGACTCTTACATAAAACTCCAGAAGACAGTTTTAGAGACATCCTTGGGATCGTCTTTGTAGGTTGTCTTGTAAAGAACTTTGTTCTTTCCTATTTTTCTTCTTCTAGAACCACTGCTGAGCATTAATGCACTAACACACTTGAGCGATTTTTGATTTTTCAATTTTCTGATATGATATGTATATGTATTGATCTTTAATTTATGCTATACTATAGTCAATTGTATTTGAATTAAAAAAAAAAATGTATCAGGCCTCACTGCTTGTTACTAAATCTGAATCAGTGAAAAGTCCAGGCCTCTGTGACTTTAAATACTTGAGATCCAGAAAACCCTGAGGTAGTTGTTTGGATTTTTGAAACTTGGCCTGAGAAACTACAGTTTTGTGGCTCTTACACTAGTTTAACTGAGCTGAATCTCCATGCCCTGTGCGGGTGCAAGGGTGGTTGAGTCTCACACTTACTGACATTTCCAAAGTTTGCTTCTAAAAGTTTGAAGTGATTTTTTTCAAACTCTCAAACAGAAAACTCTACCCTGAAGGGCAGCCAAATGTGGAGTGACTTAGTTGGAGGAAAAGTATATTGCTTGGGTCCTCCGCTCCAGTCTCTTGACAGACCCTCAAAGCACCCCTATGGACTTCTAGGACTCTTTTGATGCTTTCAAACCATTCAGAAATGTGATAATTTGGGGCCGAGCCCATGGCGTACTCGGAAGAGTGTGGCGCTGGGAGTGCAGCAGCGCTCCTGCCGCGGGTTCGGATCCTATATAGGGATGACCGGTGTGCTCACTGGCTGAGCGCGGTGCGGCCAGTCCCAAAAAGGACCAAAAAAAAAAAAAATGTGATAATTTGGATACGCATGGGGAAATGTCCTCACATGCCATCTTTTATATCATCTGCTTCTTCCTAGAGTCCTTGTGGATGTTCTCCCTCCAGACCTGCCCTTGGAAATGTGCTCTGGTCCTGCTCCCCACACCGTCAGTGGGCTTTGTTGTTGGGAGTCAGGTTCCTTACCTGTGGTCTTCTGTGTCAGCAGGGGTGGGGTGCATGCCCTGAGCACCTGGCAATGCCAGCGGGGAGCTCATCTTACACTGGCCTCATCCTCAGTCGGAGGAAACAGACCTGCACCGCCCAGCAGGATAGCCACTAGCCCCATGAGGCTATGTAACTTTAAAGTCACTAAGACTAAATAAAATAAAAAATTTAGTTCCTCAGTTTCACTAGCCATGTTTCAAGGGCTCAGTAGCCACATGAGGCTGTGACTACCCTATTGGTAGAACATGATATCATTAGAGAAATTTCTCTTAGTGATGGAACAGTATTAAGTGATGTGTTCAAGGTCAAAGCCAGTTTAGAATCAAATCAAGGAGGGGAAAGGGTGGGAAGATTAAGTCTTGTGTTATTTTATTTCCAGTTTTTTTTCTGAGCAAGTTCCAGGATCACTTTTTTAATTTTTAAAATCATTTTTTTAATTGAAACAAATTTTAATTGAATTTTTAAAATTGAAAATAGTTATACATATTTGGGAGTATAAGGTGTACATATAATGTGTGATGAGAGGCGTGACCTGGCTTGCACTTTGATTGGATTGTTCTGGCTGCTGTGTTGAGAACAGGCTGTGTGGGTGGAGGGAACTGAAGCAGTGCAGATGCTGTTGTAGGAATCCAGGAACAAGACGATGGTCATGTGGACCAGGAGCAGTTGGGGGGATGAGATGTGTGGTCAGATATGGGATCTATGTGTTTGAAGATGAAATCAACAGAAGTTGCTGGTAGATTGGATGTGGAGTATGAGAGAGCGGGGTAAGGATGACTCCAAGAGTTTTGTCCTGAGCAACTGGAGAGATGAAGTCTCCACCAGATACAGGAAGAACAGATTAGATGTGTCTGCGGGTGGGGTGGGTGGAGAAACTCAGAAGTTCAGTCCTTGCTGTCTTGATAGACCTAACAGACGTCTAAATGGAGATGGCAAGTGGGCACGTAAATACATAAATCTAGAGTTCAGGAGTGATGGCTGGGCTGGAGATGTGAATTTAGGGGATCGTCAGCGTGGAGATGGTGTTTAAAGCCCTGGTACTAGATGAGATTACCGGAGGAATGAGTAGATAAAGAAGAGACCCTAAACTGAGCCTGGAGGTACCTCTAGCTTAAGAGATTGGGGCTAAGAGGAGGAACAAGCACAAGAATTGGGGAAGGAGCAGTCAACGATGCAGGAGTCTAATGCCCTGGAAGCTGAGCAGTGAAAGAGTTTCCTTCTTCCCTCTCTTCCTTCTTTCTTCTCCCTGTTCTTTCATCTGAAAGCCAGAAGCAGTAGCTGTTGGGGAGAAAGAGACAGAGCCCTGAGCGGGGCTGTGCAGACGGGATCGGCTCGCCTGCGTGTGAGCTGTGACGCTCACCTCGTCACCCAGGGTGTCTCCTCGCCTTCCACTCCCCATTCAAACGACTGGCAGCTAAAGGGACACAGTAGAGCGAATGAGCTCATGCATTCTGACTTCTTCGTTTTCAGTGGGGGACAGTGATAATATCCAATAGTTAAGGGGCTGAACTGTGTCCCTCACCCCAAATTCATATGGTGAAGTTTTAATCCAGGTACTTTAGAAAGTTGACTATCTTTGGAGATAGGGCCTTTAAGCGGTGATTAAGTTAAAATGAGGTCTTTAGAGTGACTGTTGTCTTTATAAAAAGAGGAGATCAGGACACAGACACCCACAGAGGGAAGACCATGTGAAGATGTGGGGAGAAGATGGGCATTTACCAGCCAAGGGAGAGGCTCCAGGAGAGACAAACCCTGCTGACACCTTGATCTTGGACTTCCAGCCAACAGAATTTTTAGAAAATAGATTGTTGTTGTTTAAGCCACCCTGTCTGTGGTATTTGCTTTGGCAGCCTGAACGTACTAGTGCACCGGTGCAGAGATGTTTTGAAATCTTATCTCCCTACTCACTCATGACATGTGTAGCCTTGATGAGGATTGACTCTCAGGGGAAAAGTCAAATTCTTGGCTTTGCTTTCCAAAGTGTAGTCTTTAGAACTCAGGTCCTGGGCAACACCTCAAAACCAGGCACAAGCCTCAGTTACACACACACACACAGACACACACACACACAGACACACACACACACACACACACACACACACATCCTGGGCAACACCTCAAAACCAGGCACAAGCCTCAGTTACACACACACACACACACACACACACACACACACACACACACACACACACACACACCCCCCCACCTTTAACATCCTGCAATCACCTCTCCCAGCCCAAAGGAACTATCTGATGGTTGGAGTCTGCACTCTTCTCTTAAGAAAAGATTCCCACAAAGTTCAAGGAAAAGAATGTTGTGTAAGATCATTTTATTTCCCAGGGCAAAGGGTTGTGTAATACCCAACTGGATTCTATCTGAAGCCTTACAGGCCAATTGTAGTAAATGCATTTTACATATGTTCAGTGCTGGCTACAAGAGCTATTCCTCTTCCTTTAGAAGTGTTGCTTTTGTTGTGGTTTACAGTAACCATGCAACATGCAAGAGCAGTGTTTTTCATGAAAAAACTACCATAACTTACAGGCCCTGCCCTGAATCATCAGAAAGCTTAACTTTTGGTTAAACATCCCCTTAAAAGCTGTCAGAAGAAAAGCATATCTATTATACTACAAAACTGTGTAAATCTGCAGATTGCTATTACACATAGTCTGACAATGACCAGGAACATCCTTCTGGATTAGTGAAAGCTTGGAAAGCAGCGACAGCAGCCTGGGCTCCGGCTGGCTCTGCCCTCCGCCTGCTCCCTTCAGGAGCCCTGATCACCTCCTTCTGCCTTTGCTGGTATGATTCGGAGGCTTTCACATCTTGGAGAGCTTGATGTCATAAGTGACCATGTTGAAGTTGTCCCAGGCAAAGAGCTTCCTCTCCAGGGGGTTGTAGTCGATCATGCTGCTGTACTTGTAGCGGTTCTTGAACGGGATGGTCAGGGGCTTGCTGCTACCTGTGCCTGTGTCGTAAGCAAAGTTGATGGTAGCCTCGGCTGAGGAGTAGCTGCTGACGGTGTACAAGGTGCCACAGATGACAAAGGCATTGGCGACGGACTGCTTGCGGATGTTAGTCTCCCAGGTTTGTTCAAGTTCCAGATTCTCTGGGTTCAGTTTGGAGAGGACGATGGCACCTTTGACCTCTTCGGTGCTGTAGATGACCCAGAGGCCTGTCTCATCCACAGCCAAGTCAATGTCTGTGTAGCCGCCCCAAGAATACGGGAACTGCCCATGGAAGCCGGCGCCAGGGATTTCCTTCTCAGCCTTCACTGTCTCGGTGTTCAGCTCATACCTCACCACAGTCCTGGACCCAGCCCCCTGGAAATAGAGGCTCCCGGCGTACACCACAGCGCCTGTGCTTTCCAGCGGCCTGGGCAGCACGTGAACCTTAGAAGGGTAGCCCTGCACGAACTGGCTGACGAGGTCGTACTCGAAAACCTGGCGGATGTCTGTGCCCACCGTGTTGATTCTCCATGTGGTCTCCTGGGTATAGGGATAGGAGGGCTTGGGGTCCCTCATCCACACACCATATTTGCCAGTGATCGTTTCAGCTGTTCTCAGAGTGAAAGGCTCTCCTACCCAGGCTAGTTCTCCACATCCTGAATGAAAAACAAAACAATAAAACCACTAACCCATAATCTTTCCAAATACAATGACAACACGGAAGCTTAGCAGAGCTGGCAGAAAAGCAAGGGCCCTAGAGACAGGCAGTCTGAGTTTAAATCTGGGCTTTGCCACCCACAGGCTGCGTGACTTTCAGTAATTAACTCTCTAAGTCTGTTTTCTCCTCGGTAAAGGAGATAACAGAGTTTTGGGTAGTAGGGCTGTTGCAAATGTTAAATGTACACATGCTCAGTGCTTGGCATAGAGGAAGCGCACGGTAAATGTTCTGTGATCAGTCTGATGTGAATCGAGCTTCTGCTCAGCTTAGTTGTAAAGATGAGGGCTGCCCAGAAGGCTGCAACTGTATTTGTAATATTCTATGTCAGCTGGGCAGGGAATCATAGGTGTTCATGACACTACTCTTCATGACTTTTATGTCTGATTTAATTATTAAAAAATAGGACAGAGAAAAATCAACTCAAAAGAATAATTTAATATGACAAAGTTTTCCAAGCCCTGATCAATGGGCCACATATTTCATGCATCATTTTAATACAAGAAAATCTGTATGTAACTTTTTATATGTGGGGAAGAGATGGTTGAAAATTTAGATTTAGCAGAATCACAACAAATCTCTGTACTGTAATGGGCACCTTTGATTTCCTCACAGAAGGCAGGCACTCTTTGCTGTGCATCTCTCAGAGAATCATATTTTAAGTATTTCATAACCTCCATCCTCTTTTATTACACATGCCCTTCAGTGCTAGCAATAATTGGCAATCACATGGATAGTTAACGTTTCTGAAAACCGCAGTCTTAGTCTTAAAGTCAGGCTTTCAGGGAACATTTTGGAAAGAGACAAATGGTACTTTTCCTAAGTGGCCAAAATCCAGAAAAAATACCTTTAGTAACAAACTGTGTGTTGAGCTGGTGCATGGTGGATACCTGTCCCTAAGGTAAATGTATGAAGGACCTACTGAAAAATGTCATTTTCCAGGTGTAGTTAAGTCTGTGTGACAATCAAGTGGGTGAAATAACCACCTCTCTCATCTCCCCCCAGCCCAGGCCAGCCCATCCCAGCCTCCCAAGTATGGGTGACAGGATATAAGGCTCTGCTCCAAGTGGGTGAAATAACCACCTCTCTCATCTCCCCCCAGCCCAGCCCAGCCCAGGCCAGCCCATCCCAGCCTCCCAAGTATGGGTGACAGGATATAAGGCTCTGCTGGGGAGAGACTGACTTCCTCCAGACCTGCCCTGGAAAGGGAGCAGAGAGGGGGTTCTGTTCCTGTCCCCCTTTCCTGCCTCTGCTCACGAGGAAGTTACTCATTTCCCACCCGGCTGGGCATTTACTCTGTACTGACTCCGAACACAGAACTAGACATGGATGAAGACCACGTTGGCACAAAAGGGAAGAAATCTAACTTCATACCACTGTCTCCCTCTCCATTTCTGGGATGGCCAGATGGACTCTCCTTCAAGATTCGGGAAGCAGGAACCTCAGTTAACTGTGACTTCAATTCCTGGAAGGCCAAAGTGTCCAAATTCCATGTAGCAACTGTATTAAAAGAAAGACAAAATCGTACTGTGAGAAGTGGCCCAAGGATTGACCATGTTGAGGACGGCTTTGAAATAGCCTCCCAAAGATGTGATTTTTTTTTTAAATTATTTTTTTATTTTTATAGCAGTTTGTTTTACAGAGAAATTGAGCAGAAAGTACAGCTAGTTCCCATACCCTCCCCCATCCACAGATATAGTTTCTCCTGTTATTGACATGCTACATTAGTGGGTACATTTCTTACAATCATGAATCAACACTGATATGTTATTATTAACTTAATTTTACACTAGGGTTCCCTCTTAGTGTTGCACAGTTCTGTGGGTTTTGCCAAATGCATAAGGGCATGTATTCACCATTGCAGTATCATACGGAATAGTTTTGCTGCCTTAAAAATCCTCTGTGCTCCACCTGTTCATCCCCCCTTCCCTCATTCTCTGAAACCCTGGTAACCACTGGTTTTTTTTTTTTTTCTCCATTACTTCAGATAGTTACAGAGATATGATGTTTGAAATTTGCTCTCAAATAATGATCCGGGATTGGGGGTCGGGGAAGGGAAGATGAAACATGACTGGACTCGGCTGATAACTACTGGGGCTGGGTAATGGCTACATTGGGGTTCCTGCTGTTCTCTCAACTTTTGTGTATGTTTGAGAAATCCCATAATTAAAAAGCTCACAAATAATAAATAACATTAACAATGTGCCTAGCACAGAGTAGGGTATTCATCACAAAATAAGGTTATATACAATTTAAATAATTCCTGCCAGAAGGGCCAATTTATGAATAGATGAGGGATTTCAGGGATATTGAGAAGGTCCTTAGCATCTTCCTAGATGTCTGAATTTCAACAATTAAAAATTCACTGCATGACTTTAGGTTTTTATCCTTGTCATGTGCAAATATTTCTGTAAGAAGTAACACATTAAGCTTTACATGCTCAGTTGAAATATCCTATCAGGTGTACCTCCTGGTTGCCTTCCCAATACTTGTCTCCAGCCCCATCTCTCCCAGCTCCGAGAGGATGCTAGAAATTAAAAAACATTCATTTAACAAACAATGGTAAAGATTTACATGGGCTAGACACTGGGAATCCAATATGAATAAGGCACGGTCCCTGGTCCCTACCTTCTAAAGGTTCCTAATCTCTTGAAAAAATAATAACTATCATATATATATATTTTTTTGTCTTTTGTCTTTTTTCTTTTTCCGTGTCCGGCAACGGATTGCAACCCTCAGTGTTGCCTTCGTACCGGACCGGGGACCGGCAACGGGATTGCAACCCTCGGTGTTGCTCCCGCGCCTCGCTCAGCCAGTGAGCGGGAACTGGTCTGTATGTGGGATCCGAACCCTCGGGCGGGAGCGCCGCCGCGCTTCCCAAGCGGCGCACTATCCATTGCGCCACCGGGCCGGCCCATAACTATCATATTTTAAGAAAAAAAAATATTCTGCCAGATTCCTTTCTGAGACCAGTTTTGCATAAGGAAGAAAGCGTGTGCAGGATTGCTATGGGAATTTGAGGTGGGGTATGAGCCATGGAGAAGGGAAGCTGTGCGAGTGACCTTGGTTAGACATTAAGTCATCACCGTGTGCCACACATTTCTGCTTTTGCTTAGGATTATGGTCTTATGGCAGTTCTTGAATACAAGGATAAGGCAATAGCCAAAAGAAATAGGCTTGGCTGTTTCAAAATGTAGGTTCGATTATTATTTAGGTATGGTGAGGCCAACAGATCAGGAGATGATTGCCACGGAAAAGATAGTTTGAGGCAAAACTATGGAGAAAGTAAAAAGAGTGGTGGATGGGTGGGGTGAGGTGGGGGTGTGGGGAGGGAAGGGATGAGGACGTGCAGCACAGAGGCATTTTCAGGCAATGAAAATACGCTGAGTGATACTATAATGGTCGATACATATCATCACACATTTGTCCAGACCTGTAGCGTGTACAACACCAAGAATGACCCCTAATGTAAACTATGGACTGTAGGTGATGATGATGATGATGTGCCCATGCAGGTCACTAAGTGTGACAAATGCACCACTCTGGTGGGGGGTGTTGATAGTGGGGGAGGTTGTGCATGTGTGAGGGCAGGGGGTATATGGGAACTCTCTGTACCTAAATGGAGGATCTTAATTTTGCTGTGAACCTAAAGCTGCTCTTAGAAAACAGTCTTTAGGGGGCCATGGGCCCTAGCCCTGCCCCTGCCTCTGCTGCCACCCCACATCCAGGCCAGCAATGGAGTCAACCTGACACCCAGGATCCTGAGAGATGGGGGTGCCTCAGCCAGCAACCAGATCCTAGAAGACACTATTAACCATGTGTGTTTCTCTGGGCGTGTGACTTACCTGCTCATGTCCTTCACTAAATTTCAGCTTAGATTTTTCTAATTCATTTTAAGAGTTCTTTTTGCAATAAGGATATTAATTTGTGTGTGTCAAAGAAAAAAAAAGTAGAGAATAGAATAATGGTTACCAGAGCTGGGAGGGGTTGGGGAGAGGAATAAGGGGTGAACTATTGGGAACAAAACTATGCTGCCTACCCTAAGTGAATGATTGTGCAAGATATGCACGTATTGAAACAACGCACTGTACCCCACAAAAATAAATACAAATAAAATCGAATTTTAAAAAAGTCTTTAAAAAAGATAATTTGTCATACTGTACTCACAGATTCCAAGGGGAAGGGGTCACACCCTGCCATGGGGGGGCTGCATGGGAAAGCACCAGGGTTGCTCAGGAGTCAGAGGGAGCGTGGTGGAAATGTGGGCAACAGGCTTTATCGTTCTTTCCATGGGAAGGAACAGGGGAGGCAGGTAAGGAAGGGTTAGCACTGGCTAGTTTGAATAATTTCAGCAGGCTCTAGGGCCTAGGGGCTGTCCCTAGTTGTGTGGTCTCTGGCCCTGGGTTGATTAGGGCAGGAGGATAATGGCTGGAGAGAGGAGGAGGTAGGGGTGTGGCTCTGGATTGGTTGACTGCACAGGAAAGACAAGCTCCCAGCTGAGTCGTTCACTATCTGTAGGAATTGGCTAGACCTGGCAGGGGCAGGCCGTCCAGCATCTGCAAGGACCAGATGGCAGAGCATCGGAGTAAAAAGACAGGCTTAATGCTTTGGCTTTTTTTCTCTTGCTGAATGCCTCGGTCATTTCTCTGGCCCTTGAGTGACCTGGCTCCTTGCTCAGGATTTTCAGGTGTCCAAGACAATAGGAAGGAAGTCAGCGCATCACCTGAGGCTGGGGCTCCACACAACTGAAGGTCAGCTTTTTCTTCTTTTTTAATTTTTTCTGCCTTTTATTGTTTGTTTACTCAACTCTCCTATATTTAGATTCCAGGCGTGGAGGATTACAATGGAACTCTTAACCCCTCTGGATGTACCGTATTTCATCAATCTTAAGACACAGTCTCCACATCCCTGGGATCAGAGGTGCCCTCTCCGAGTTGCTGGTGTTCGGCTCCGATCAGTTACAGTACAGAAAATGTTTCTCTCTGGAAGGAGCTGGAGGAAACATTCAGCTAAACAGCTCTCAGGCTTGGGCTGGGCCATGGGGCTGGGGGCGGCATTTTGCCATGGCTGAGAGCCCTGCTGCACAAGCCGAGCTGTCCCATCAGCCGCCCTCTCCTGACCCCGGCTGCTGCAGTCCTCTCCTCCCCAGCCCTGCCTTTGTGCAGCTGCAGCTGTTCAGCCTCCATAAGAGTGCAATGACCCTGGACAGGGGCGGCTCCTCTGTCCCCTGGGATAGCCCTCAGTCTAGAGAGGACAATGTAAGCCATCAAGACCCATAACCCAAAATGTATAGCCAACTGAGGCCATCCTCCATAAGCATCCCAAACTCCAGGGGTAATTTGGAGTGCACCCAGGGACATGGCAGGTCTTAAGTCTTCCCAGCCTTGAATCCACAGAATTATTTATCCATTCATTCTTCCAGCCCCTTGGGAGCACCTATGAAGGGCATAGCTGTGCTAGGTGCTGGAGATAAAAGGTGAATAAGACGCAGTTTGTCTGTTCCCTTGAGGATCTCATATTCTGGCAAAGTCCTCCTGAAATGGGTCCATTCCAGGCTGCTTTGGGAACCAGCATCATTGGACAATCTTAATGGCTCCCGGAGAGTCTTGGAAAGTTTATTTGGTCCTCTGACTCTCTTTCTCCCTATCTGAGGATCTGTGGAGGTGAGGAAACACCTCGTTCTTCATTCTAAAGATTGCCTTGGCCCATATGGGAACCCAGGGCAGAGATGGGTCCACTAGGTCAGATGAAGGCTCCTTAGACTGATCTGGAACCTGCACGCTGCTTCCTTCCTCCCCCAGTGCAGGTGGCCACACACCTTTGCCAGGGAGTTGGTGCTGCTCGTGGGCAGCAGGGGAGAGGGACAGGGTGCCTGAGGTTCCCCGTCCTTATGTGCTGCCAGGGAAAGGCAAGAGCTACCCCCAACCCTAAAAGCGACGGCAGAGCTATTTGTAACACCCTCTCCATCCGTGCTTCTCCACTGTCATGCCTTCTCTCTTAGGCCTAAAACATGATGATAGACCCCTGATCCCTGGCTGTCAGGAGCAACCCTCCCCTGCCTCACCTGCTAAACCTCCTGCATGGAGCAGAGGCTCATACAAGGTGGCAAACCGTCACCATGGCAATTCCTCAAAATCAGATCATTAAGCATGTTCCTTGAGTTTAGCTGTTTTCCTTTCTTGGACCATTGTAGACTACTCTTCAGGACAATTCAAACTTTTTTTCTTTGATACCTCAATTAACTCTCAGAATGCAGGAGCTGGTTTTAGGCAATGTGAGGTGAAATACTGTTGGTGGCATCTGTACAAAAAGTCTGGAGAGCCCCCCTCCCTGCCCTTCAGCTATGTGACCCACACTACCCATGCAAGGGGCACATGGACCTCCTCTCCCCTACATCCTCCCCCACATCCCTGACATGAACTACTTTATTCTGTCAAAGTACCTAAGATGGTTATTAAGAAAAGCAGGGCGTATACTTGCAAGTCACTTGAAATGCCCTT